TGTGAGGATAATTGAGGACCTATATCAAGGAAATAGCGTCTCCGGTCTAGAAAACCGAGATTAACGATCGTGGGGATTCGTTGCGCTGACCACGCGACACCCTCTATCCGCTTAAGTTGACACTAACTTCGCCGACAAGCGGCGGTCGCTTCGTCGGTATAGTTCGCTTGCGGAATAAAACCACGTAGTTTGTTTATTATACTGTAGCGTCATGTTGTGTGGAATATAATGTTCAGTAGTTATTCGGTCCACACAGTCCTGGTATAGACACGCCTTGCGTTTGCATGTACTACATTTTTGGGCCTATTGTGGCCATTATCAGGTACATCTTTTGGAACCATTCCCGGAGGCATCATACTCTTCATGCAAGAACAAGGCTACGGGAAGGACACGAAAACAACCCATTACATACCGATTAATATCTGAAGTGCTGGACGGTTTAGAATGTAGGCCGAATTTAGTTTTGTGTGCTGTGCCTCTTACCTCATATGAATCCCAAATGCATCTATATCACAAAGAAAACATTTTTTTTTATAAATAGACTTGAAAGGATTCTGACGATGGTGTATGCTGTACAGAACTATTAGGCTTATTTTGGACTCTATCCATCGTCTGGTATATATAAGAAAAAACCACAACGTTTCCGATATTGGATCTGTCTCCGTCCTCACGTCGATTCGGCAGGATAGACCAACTCAGTCGGACCCGTAAGAAACGGCAGTTCAGTGATTGAGAGTACCTCTTTCTAACGGGCCCGACTATCCTATCCCATCCACCTGAGGATGGAGACAGATCCAGTCTCGGAAACGTTGTTTTTGTCTTATATATATCAGACGATGGATAGAGACCAAAATAAACCTAATAGTTCTGTACATATTTTTTATAAACAAGTCATAGGTGCGTGGACAATATTAAAATGAATCTTAGAGAATATGATGGGATAGTTTGGAGTAGATTGATCTGGCTCAGGATATGGACCATTGAAGGACTCTTTTGAACACGGTAATGAACTTTCGGGCTCAATAAAATGCTGGGAAGCTCTTGAGGAGTTGCACAACTGATAGTTTCTCAAGAAGACATGTATTACAAACGTCGTTCCTTAGCAACGTACAGTAAATTCTTTCTCCATGTAGGTTCACATATTTAAATGTAGATCAGCTCTGTAGCATTAGGCTAAGTTGTGTATTTTCATTAGATTTGCTAGTGGGGTGGGACTAAGTCCCTTGTACTGCGGCCATTCTAGCCTGTTGTACCAGTCCCAGATGATAGGTGAGGGTGACTGTAGAGCAATTGGTGGAATGAAGATTGGCAGGGGAAACGGAAGTACTCGGGACTTAGTACAAGGGACTTAGTTTCACCCCACCAGCAATAAAAGAAAATTGTATACTCAAGTTTTGGTTAAAATCGGAAAAAAATACGAGACAATTTACATCAAAACGATCGTGCGTTTGTATATATATCAATTGTAATTCGCTGAGCGTTTATTAAAAAGAAACATTTTTGCACCAGACATTCTGCGGAAAAGGGAAATATTCATTTTATGTTCAGTGTGTGTTTTTTCGTATTGCGATTTTGAGACAGAGAAAAATGACGCTTTGTTTTCGATTTTCAAACTATAACGTGTTCATTCAGCAATCAACAGCGGTCTCCCAAAACGCGCGAATATTAACAAAGTCTTATATTCTTTGTAATAATTTAGCGAAGCTTCGAAGAATATTGTGTGCTGGGGTATGACGTATTGTCTGGTACAAGTTACTCTACGTTTCGGAGGAGTGTACCGCCTCCATCTTCAGAGTAGGAGAGTAAACCAGGCAAGCAGTAGTAGACATCGGTAAACTTTACCGGCCGACACGACTTTGCGGTCCAAAAGATAGTCTGTTCTTCGTAGTCACCGTCGTACGAACCCGAAATCCCACAGAGCGCTTCCTCACATCTGAATTAACAGGTCTACAATATGTAATTGAAATATAATTGATCAGCTGCCGAAGTATGCCACAATTGTTTCATCTTGTGAAGGATTCGAGGTTCTGACAACGGTTGTTATAAAGAATTCTTTTTCTGGGATGTAATGCCATGTAGTCAGTCGAAAATCAGCCGAGGTTTCGGGAGAGCATGTCGCTTCCATCTTCAGGGTCGGATATTCTATTTTTTTCTGGGCTTGTTCTGCTTTGACAGAACTTTTCAACTCCTCTGCCCTCACGTAATGCCTCTTGGGTTGCTTTTAGGGTACAATAATAACTTTGCCCTTATTTCTTGAACTGAATTGGTAAGTTTGTGGTGTAGGGGTGAATGAACTGAATTGGTAAGTTGGCGGTGGTTTAGGGGTGAATGTTCTGAGCTATTCAAAGGTCAGTGAGGGACTAATTAAGCGGTTCAGTTGTAGAAGTTGGTTGTGAGTCATAAGATTTCGTATCTGCTGAGTGCTGAATCATGTTTGCTTGATGAGGAATGTATTTCTGTACTTTCACCCCTTCTGTGTTTATTCTTGTTGTGTACTTCACTGTAAGCTGGAAGCTGCGGAAATGCGGTGCTCTGTTAGTACAATGCCCTCTCTTCAAAGGCACAAGGACACATTTCTCCCTGCCGCTTCACGTTTTTTCTATATTACCGAATTGCATTTAATTAAACATTAATATACAAATCTGATTACTTCAGGATCTGAGGGTTGCTTGGTTACTTCCCCCAGCCCTCATGCAGATGGAAGCCAATATGGCTCGCTCCTTGGCCAGTGTATGCTTATGTCTGTCTCACGCGGTAGCGTAGTTGGTTGAGGCACTATGCTTCAAGCCGGAAGGTCGCGGGATCGAATCCCGATGAGGTGGATTTTTTTCAATTTTCTTAATCCTTTCAGCCGCACTATGGCCCTGGGGTCGACTCAGCCTCTAACAGAAATGAGTACCAGCAATATTCCTGGGGGTAAAGGGCGGCCGGCTCGTAAGGCTGACAACCTCACCGCCATCTATGAGCCTATTGTCTAGAAAATGTGGCATCCTCAGCGTCTCACAACTCTATGGACCTTCGCGGCCTGTTACAGGGAAAACTTTATATATATATATATTTTTTTTACATATGCAATAAAGTATAGTCACTAATGGAGCTTAGCCCTTCTTGAGAAGCCGCAAATTGTGCAGCTACTCAAGACCTTCCCAGCATTTTATGGAACCCGAAGGTTCATTACCGTGTTCACAATTGCCCTCCACTGTTCCTTATCCTGAGCCAAATCAATCCAATCCATCCCATCCCATCCTGTCTCTCTAGGATCCATTTTAACATTTTACACCCACCTATGCCTTGGTCTTCCCAGTGGTCTCCTTCCTTCTGGCTTTCCCACCAATATCCTATATGCATTCCTCCTCTCCCCATTCGTGCCACATGCCCTGCCCATCTCATCCTCCTTGACTTGATCATTCTAAATATGCTTGAATATATTAGAATCCAAAAATGTTCTGTACCAAGGAATAAAACTCTTCTGAGTTCTCTAAATGTGGTTCGTGGTACTGAATATGTAAAAGGTCAAGTTGTCCCTGTGCTTAACTACGTAATTATTCATTGATCATGAAGACATATGAGGAATTGGATGTCTAGGTCCACACATTCTTCACTTCAGCATTAGTTGAGACAAGAATATGATCATAATGACACGGATATGTATAACTGTAGGTGGGATTTGAATTGTTGATTAGATTTATTGACCACTTATACACCTGGCTCGGAACTACAAACAGTTACATTTTCGCCACTAATCTCCACAATTCACAAATCATCACAGCACCAGCTAAGCCTTTTCTAGCCTTCTGTGTCTTCACCAGTGGTTTCTTATGAACGGTTTCTAATAGTGAAGATTTTTCAGCTTCGTGTGCTGAGGTCCTCTTTTTACATACTCTCATGCAGAACTGAATTCTCCGCTGATAACTAACTTTGTCCCTTGCTTATAACATCTTGGCACGGACCACATAGAAACCCCCAATTTTCACTGTTGTAATGCAACTGTGCATTATTAAGAATCTGCTGCTTAGCAACATCAATGTGTTTACCGAGCTGTTGCCCAGAAACGATCGCTGATTACAGAGTCACAGCTTAGCAACGGGTCTGTATGCCACAGTAACAGAAATTGTAGCCAAACAAGGACAAGTTCTGGTTCTTCACATCCAGTGATGTCATGAATACCAGGCAAGTTGGTTCAAGTGGTAACATATCTGATTTGTATTTGGGAGAGGGCTGGTTTGAATGTTGACTGGGGCACCAACAATCCTAACTGAGGCTTTTTGTTGTTTTCCACCTCCTGTCCGGGCAAATGCTAGGATAGGACCTTGAATTAGACCACTTGATTTGTCTAATAATCAGAAGTAGCTCTTTCCAACAGAACCAACTATGGCCATGCCATAGCTCAAGTGGTTAGTCGCTGGCTTCCCACCGTGACAGCCCGGGATCGATCCCGGGTCTGGTCAAGTGGGATTTGTGCTGATTATGTTGATGGAGAATTTAGGACAGATTCCACCAAATTCTACATCATCATAAATAATCACCTGGGGCAGGTACAGTAGGTCAATCAGTGGCCACCATGTCAAGTGGAGCCAGTTGGCCTCCACCCCCCACTAAAGGAATAAAAAGAAAATGTAGTCGCTGGCATCCCAACGTGGCTGCCCGGGTTCAATCCTGGGTCTGATCAAGTGGGATTTGTGGTGGACCATGTGACACTGGGGCGGGTTTTCTCCAAGTACTTCGGTTTCCCCTGCCAATCTTCATTCCACAAAATTCTCCATCATCATAATCACCCGGGGCAGGTACGATAGGCCAATCAGTGCCCGCCATGCCGAGTGGACCTAGCTGGACTCCACCCCCCACTAAGCGAATTTTAATTTTTAAATACGTACTCATCACCTGAGGATATGAGCAAATCCAGCTTCTGAAAAGTTGTGTTATGGTTTAGAATAATGGATTATGGGCAAAGTTCAGAAAGCCAGTAATAATAAATGTAAATATATCTTAATTTGTTGCAGATTGGTTTCAAGGGATTTGGTTTACCAGAAAATAAACTCGATTCATCGGCTCCTTTCATTTATGAGGGTTCCGAGTATGTGTTGCATCATGGTTCAGTGGTTATTGCGGCCATTACGTCATGCACCAACACAAGCAACCCAAGTGTCATGCTTGGAGCAGGTAAATACACAGTTCCTTGCCTGCTAATTTATGTCTGTGTGTTACATGAATAACCATGTTTGTGTCATCATTCAAGTAAAATGTTGTGTCCAGATATGGGGGTCCTGTCTTCCAGTTCTGTCAGTGTAAGTAAGATAATGCAGAAAGGCTTGTATAGCTTTCACAAATAGAACTTAAATTACCATGCACATGAAAGGTAGCTGTTCATTTCATGAAAGAACAGGGCTGATATTTTAAAATCTTTTTCAGAATTCTGTTAAAGTTCATCTTGACGTGTTCTTTCCAATCTCTTCAATGTTGTTCTATCTATAATTTTTTTGTAGTTTTCCTTGATTGATTTTGTGGTGCAAAAGTGTACAGCCTTCAGTCCTGATACATTTTTGCTGATGCATATCTTACATTATCTTATTGGCCGTCGTTCAGTGTCATGAGGTAATGTTTGTCTAGCAAGTAACTTATAACTTGGGCCATGCCATAGCTCAAGCAGTTAGTTGCTGGCTTCCCACCGTGGCAGCCCGGGTTCGATCCCGGGTCTTGTCAAGTGGGATTTGTGGTGGACAAAGTGGCGCTGGGGCAGGTTTTCTCTAAGTACTTCGGTTTCCCCTGCCAATCTTCATTCCACCAATTGCTCCACAATCACCCTCACCTATCATCTGGGGCTGGTACATAGGCCAGAAGTGGCCGCAGTACAAGGATCTTAGTCCCACCCCACTAGCAGTAAAAACCTTTTCTTGTGTGTCTAAAAACTAATGGTGTTTTAAAGATCTGATGTACAACTCCTAATCTTTTATAGAGTTTACAGTTTTTACATTCAAATCCTTTTCTCCTTCATAGGATATAATATATACCAAATAATTAAAAGTATTATATTGTTCCAGTATCCTGTCATTAATGCAATTGTTGTTATGACAGCATAAATAGAAAATAAAGGAAATAAATATATGTTTATTTCATTAACATTAATTGCTGATATATGATTGTAACTAGAGGTGAACCCCCTGTTTAAGATTTCTTTGATAGACTTACATTTTAACACTAAACTGAGGAAGCTCTTAAATGGAAGTAATTTTAAACTAATACTGACTTGGGAGTATTTAATTTTAACATAAAATGAGGGAGAGCCATCTGTGGGAACATCTCACTGTAATCAGTAACTGTAAAAACTTTCTGTGTAAATATAGGACTTCTTGCAAAGAAAGCTGTGGAGGCTGGACTGTCCGTGCTGCCTTACATCAAGACGAGTCTGTCGCCAGGCTCGGGTGTTGTCACGTACTATTTGAAGGAAAGTGGTGTCATCCCTTACCTCACAGCATTGGGCTTTGATATTGTTGGTTATGGATGCATGACTTGTATAGGAAACAGTGGCCCACTGCCAGAAACTGTGGTTGAAGCCATTGAAAAGGTAAAGAGAATTATTTGATGTATCATGAGGGAGATAACTTGATAACGGTGGTATTGCGTTGTACTCAGTAACTGCAGGAAACTATCACTATGTTTTTTCTTCCACTTTGCTCCCACTTTGGAGCATAGGGCTGATTTCTTAGTTCCAGTGATCATTTTTACAGATGGTAGGACTCCTTTGATGGGGGATCAGCTCATCGCAAGGCCTCTACCTAAACACAGGATAACACAAACACAGAATGAACACATACACACCAAACATCCATGCCTTGTGTGGGATCCAAACCCATGATCTCGGCTTTCGAGTGATTGAAGACAATGCATGCCTTAGACCACTTGGCTACCGTGACCGGCCCTGTCACTATGTAATAAGCTATAAATGCTTCCGATTATTACATTATTTGTAGCAGTAGTCAATCCTGTATACAGAGTGATGTAGGAAGCATGTGTTAAACATCCCACATACTAACACGTGGTTTCACTAGTCCAACAGACAGCACTAAACTCCTAGTCAGTATCACATTGCCTCACATTGCTGCCAACGCTCATATTTATACAGCACTCTCTGTCTAGCCCACCTTTATATTATAGCGCGAGCTAGCCAATCAGCACTCAGAGTCAGAACTGCAAGTTTAAGCTCCGCCCAGCAAGCATGGTATAAAAGGCGGAGCCCAAAGCTTGCAACCATCAGTGATCATATTCAGTCATCGGAGTCATCGGCTCTTTACTGCGCCAAAGACAGCTGCCACAACTCTCCAGCAACTGTGCTCTGCTACCAGACAGCTAACATAGCTGCCACAACTCTCCAGCAACTGTGCTCTGTTACCAGACAGCTAACGTAGCTTCCAAAACTTTCTGGCAACCACGCTCTGCTACCAGACAGCTAATGTAGCTGCCGCAGCTCTCCAGCAACCAAGCCGAGAACGGCTCAGTCATCACCCGAACCGCAGGCAGCTGTTCCTACCGGCGCATGCAGCACCAAATCACCGGCCAGACAGACCAGCTGAATGGCTGTAAAGACTTGGTGTGCTACAAAAGAGCAAATTCTGCCAGCGCACTCACGGTGGAACAAACTTCCCTTTTCAGGGCCAGCCAACTTTTGAATGTCGACATTCCACATAGCTTCATAGCTATTCTGTACATTCAATTTATACAATTTAATATATAGTTACAGTTTTACGTGGTTGTCTCTTAGAACATCGACAATCCCACAGTACATCAGTCAAGTGATTCCTTGTAGAAATAAGTTCTGTTAACATGGGTTCCGTTTGGAAAGTTTAAACAGTCATTGCAATTTGAAAGTAAGACCAAGACATACCAGGATTAAGGAATTTTATTTAAAATTAAACAAAATGTTAATTAAATAACAAAGCATGTTAGAAGAAGTGTTCCAAGTATCCACCAGCAACTTAAATGCACATTTGAGGGTGATGTATTATTTGAAATGGATGTCAATATTATGTGTTGCGTAAATAGTGTGAAGGGCATTATTCACAGAATGTACACATATGTTGCTTATGACATGGATGAAACAAAACTGAGCAGATTTGAACAAGAAGACAGTATGTTGCCAGCCACTTAATCTTATAAGCCTGCTTTGTTTTACTTTTAATTGGCAGAAAGCAGCATGAAAAGTACATAAATTTCAGGTTTATCTTGAATTGTGAGAATTCTTCGTACATCCTATGAGATAGTACTTGTCAAAGGAAATATATCATATTCACTTTAAAGAAATGCAAGTCTTTGATCTATAAATATGACACAATGTCATTAATATCTGACAGCTAGTACAATATTTATGGGATTAGGATTGCATTAACATTATTAATGAATAAGATTTTAATTCCATATGATTTTAAGGTGGAGTATCTTTGTTGTTAATTGGATGATTTTAACAATATTATATTGTTTTTCTATTTATGTAAATAAGGTGGTCTGTCATACAGTGGAATCAGGGTAGTCATGTGGTCTTCCTTTTCATCTTACAGCATGACCTTGTGTGTTGTGGTGTTCTTTCTGGGAATCGTAACTTTGAAGGCCGCATCCATCCCAATACTCGAGCAAATTACCTTGCTTCACCCCTGCTTGTCATAGCTTATGCCATTGCTGGACGGGTGGATATCGACTTTCAAAAGGAACCGCTGGGTATGATTTCAAGGATTTCTTTCTTTCTTTCTAAGGCTAAATTTAGAAGGTTTAAATGTATAAAGTAAAGGTGAAAATAAAGTTGTTCCTTTGCTTAACTGATTAAGCATCACACTATGAAGAATATGAGGGAATGGAGGAATAGCTGCATGCTTTCTTAACCTTGATGCTAGGTGGAGGTGAGTAGTCAGCTTAACGACCCAACTGTTTTACCTGTGGGGAAATGGCCCCTGGTGCACATTGGATAGGAGGCTGGGTGAACCCCAAATAAGGTCTGGATGCTATTGAGGAAGAAACATTTCATGCCACAACCAGGAATCAAACCCAGATTCCCTGGCCATCCAGACTGTAGACAGTTTCTGTACTGACCAATCATCTGAACTGGTGGTTTAATTGAGATCCCGATTGTTGCTCTTTGTTAAGGTTGAAAATTTTATTTTTTGAAATTACGTATATGAAGTTGTCTGGTAAGCTATCACAGAAACTGTAACACGTCATAAGCCTGGGAGGACAGTAAATCATGTTAGAATTATATTCTAAAAGCCTTGATTATATTTATAAAATCAGTATTAGAACAGAAATAATTATGTCTTCCAATCACTTTTGGTAGACCACGTCTGTGGTCTAGTGGTCAGAGTTCCTGGCTACAGATCCAGAGATTCCAGGTTCGATTCCTGGCACTACCAGATTTTCTGAGAAGTAGTGGGTCTGAAACGGGGTCCACTCAGCCTCTTGAGGATAACTGAGGAGCTACTTGAATGGAAAAGTAGCAGCTCTGGTCTATAAAACCGAGATTAACAGCCATGGGGATCCATTTCGCTGACCATGCGACACCCTCTGTCCACTAAAGTTGGCATTAACTTTGCCAACAAACAGCGGTTGCTCGGTTGGTATAGTTCGCTTGTGAACCAAAGCCATGGCATTTTTTAATTCACTTTTGGTATGTTTAAGGTTAAAAGTCATAACTGTAACACTGAAAGTAAAAGTTTAGAATTTGGTTTCCTAGAAATTTTGTAAGAGGTATGGTTATGAATGAATGAATGAATGAATGAATGAATGAATGAATGTATGTATAAGGGGTGGGCCTTCTTGGCCCTTGCACCACAACCACAGTGATTTCTTGTGCCTCCCCTTCTGATTATCCCCTCAGCAATTCTGCGCTTTGAATGAAGCATAGGATTTTGTGGGGACGTCGAAATAGTCACTTGGTTCCATAAAATATTGAACCAAGTGGCGCAATCTGAAATAAGCTAAGACCTCACATTCACACAGGATATGCGTGGCTGTTTCATTTTCTTCTTGACACCTCTCACAAGTTGGACTGTTACTTAGCTCCAATTTGAAGAGGTGTCCTTTGAGGTGACAGTGTCCTGTAAGTAGTCCTACCACCCATCATAGCTGGTTCCTGTTCAACTTCAACAGTTCATAATGTTGTATTTTAGCGTCCTGTTGCACTGATTTTCGTCCATGATATGTATGCAGTGTCCGTCTTTTAGTGCACTCAATTTCACTTGTTATTTCACAACATGTTTTGGCACTATAGTGCACACGAGACACGATATACACTGAGAGTAAGAGGAACGACTCCCATAGNTCAACAGTTCCTTGACTCTTTTAGTAGAGGGTCCTTGTATGAGTCCCTTTACTTGCCTGAGTCCAGTCAAGGATCCCCAGTATTTCTTATGATTCATATTTGTCCAGTCCCTGATTGCCTTTCTGGCAACTCCTATAGAGATGCCACAGGCTGGTTCAGGTCCTATGAACGGATGTTCACCTCCAGTCTTAGTCAGTTGATCTGCTGTTTCCAGCAATACCCTCATGCCCTGGCACCCATATCAGTTGTACCCTGTTATGTTTGGCCAGTTCCATGAGAGTTTGGTGGCAATCCCAAACCAATTTTTAGTTGATCTGGTGTTTGTCAAGCGCTTTAAGTGCAGCTTGGCTGTCAGATAGAATGTAGATGTTCCAATTTCTGTAGTTCCTATCTAGATTCTCCATAATACATGCCTCAATGGCATATACTTCTGCCTGGAATACTGTCGTGTACTGCCCAAGGCTGAAACTATGAGTAAGTTTCCGCCTCATGCCATAGCAGAACACACCAGCTCCAGTACCCTTATTTATCTTGGAACCATCTGTATACCAGATCAGTCCCCCTTTTCTATCAGGCTGAAACCTGTCTTCCCATTTACTCCTGTCAGGAAATCTGACTGTGAATGGTTTGTCATGTACATGTCTCAGTATCATTTTGTCAGACCCCATAAGTTGTATGGTTATTTAAGATTACTGTGTTCTGGGTTATTGCAGCATGCATTTTAATAGATATGTGCAGACCTTTTGGGGGGTCATGATGCCTTCATCTTTGCCATAGATGGGGACAGAAAGACTGGCGTTTCCCTGCTCAAAATCAAAAGTAAATTATAAATTAATCTAGTCTCAAAATCTAAATAAAGTGGACAAATCACATCTACTAAATCATTTATGTCACAAATACTTCCATCTTAAATGCAGCTTATTATTTAGCAACCTTTCTTTTTCACTATATGTTTCAGCTGTATACAGCCATCGTCAAGCGGCTATTATCCTTCTGAAATTGTTACACTGTATGTCAAAATTTGGTGTCGCATTTGGACACGATATTTTGTGGTTAAAACAAATTGGCCTTAATTAAAATTAATGAACATCCCGGTGTTTTCCTTATTGTCATAGTCCATTTGTTTAAAAGATACTTGCTTGAGTATCACTTGGAGTTATTTTTGCAGCATTCCCTTTGCACCTTGAATATTACGTGTGCTATTTGTGCAGATCATAAGAATGCTGATATAGTGTTATCATTTTTTTTTGTATGCACCCTTGTCTGTAGGTTCTTCCATGCTGCCAGAGTAGTTTTGTCCTTATTTGTCTGTGCATGTAGATATTATGTATGTGTATATATGTATATACAGGATGCCCCACTAGGAATGTGTCAGACTTCGGGAGGTTGTTCCTTATGTTAAAGTATGACGATATAACCCAAAACACCTATGTCCAAAGTTGAACGGTTATGGAGATAACGGCCAGGGAAGTGTGAAACTTTGACAGGTGTTACACACTTGTTGATTACCAAATACATATTAAAACTGGCAGGAAAATGTGGTTTCTGTAATGTTAATAATGTACATAACATCAAACTAACTTGTGAATGACATGAAGCCATTAAATTTAACTACAAAAAATCTCACATGCCATGTCATAGTTGTCCTTAGGGTTCCAAGCACTGTACGTGACACATGAATGGCAAGCCGTGACGTAACATGGCTGACTACACATTCTGGTATAAGCTGACTACATAACTGTACTAAAATAGAGTACCTGCTTTATAGTCATTGTTCAAAGTGTCCTCCACCAGCTGCAGTGCAGTTTTCGGCACGCATCGTGAGGGATTGGGTAGCAGAAGCAATATTGCCTGGATGGTGACGTATGTGTTCTGCCGCTGCAAAAATACGATCCGCAATGCTTCTCATGAATCGACCTTAGTTTCATAGATTAACGTCTTCATGTGGCCCCAGAGGTAATAATCTAGAGGCATAAGATCTGGCGACCTCAGTGGCCATGCAACGGGCCCACCGCGACCTAACCAGCGGTTAGGGAAGGATTCATCTAAGTAGTGTCTCACATGCTGAGTTTAATGTGGGGGAACCCATCATGTTGGAAGTACATTCGGCTCCTTATCGTTAACGGGATGTCTTCCAACAAACGTGGTAACTCATTCCTCAGGAAGGCTTCATACGTGTTTCCAGTTAAATTGTTGTGAAACACAAAAGGTCCGATCAACCTGTTCCCAAGCACACCACACCATACATTCACAGAAAATCTCTTTTGAAATTTTGTTACCATTATCTCATGTGGATTATTATGGGACCATGTATGCACATTTCATAAATTATTTACACCGTCCCAGGTAAAAAGACACCTCATCACTGAATAAAATGACGCTTAACAGTTCAGGATGAGCTTTTATCCAATGGCACAAATCCATACATTGAGCTTGGTTGCCTGGTTCCAGATGTTGTACCCTTTGATCATGGTAAGGATACAACTCTTCATCATGTATAGTTCGCCACACCTGCATACGTGATACGCCAATGCAAGAGACCATTCTACAAATGGACAGACGCAGACTTCTCTGAACCATCTCAAGAATGTTCTTTCGTGTGTTTATCATTCGTACATCCTCCCTTTCAGAGTGCACAGAAACACTCAGAAGAGAACCAGTGTCACACAATGTCTGGTGAATTCGCGTAAATACACTTTGAGATGGAATCCTTCGATTGGGAAAACGCCTTTGGTATTCTTCAACAGCAGCACGTGCATTGCCACTGCAAAATCCATACACAAAATGCATATCACAATATTCCACATGTGAAAACACAAAAGGCATTTCAGCAACTCCACACAACTAACCTACCAACCATTCACAACGTGGCTGCAACGTACCGTGAAGGAAGCACACGAGCTTACGGCTAGTGTGAGCCGTCATCGCCACACTCAAGGACAAACATCGATAAGACTTGTCAGCTGACAGGTACATTGCATGGACCGGAAGACCACACTTTTCTCGGGCCATTATCTCCATAACTGTTCAACTTTGGACATAGGTGTTTTGGGTTATATTGGCATACTTTAACATAAGGAACACCCTCCCAAAGTCTTCCACATTCCTCCTGGGACACCCGGTATATATATAATATCACTATGCTACAAACTGGAAGGTCGTGGGTTCAAGTCCAAATGAGGTCATTGGATTTTTTTTTTCAATTGACCTAATCCTTCTGGCCACACTATGGCCTTGGGGTCGACTCATCCTCTAACAGAAATGAGTACCAGGAATTAATTAAATAATTTTCCCGGGGAGTAAAGCACGGCTGGCGCGTAAGGCTGACAACCTTATCGCCATCTTTGAGCTGATGGTCTAGATAATGTGGGACCCTCAGCGTCTCAACCCTATGGACCTCCACGGCCTGGTACCGGGATAGCTTTACTTTACTATATATAATTATATATACTTCTGCTGAAGTACAGATTGTCTGGTGCAGGGCAATGTGTTTGATAATGACAGTTTCTTCTTTTGATTCTACATTACCCCTCTTCCTCCCTCAGAAAAAGTGGTCTCTATCTTACAGTCTATGTATGGCACATCCCAAATGAACATAATATTAGTATTCAAAACCATGAAAATCTCATATATTATATGGTTTCTTGTTTTGTTCATCACCATTTTATGTATCATTCCAGGTCACAATGCTGATGGGAAACCTGTGTACCTCCATGAAGTGTGGCCACTACGTTGTGAGATTCGTGATATAGAACAGCAGTATGTTATCCCTGCAATGTTCCGTGAAGTGTATGCTAAGATTGAAACAGGGAGCCCGAACTGGGCACAGCTGAAAGCACCTGAAGGCAAGCTGTACCCGTGGGATCCATCATCTACCTATATTAAGAATCCACCCTTTTTTGAAGGCATGACAAAGGTGAGCAAATGATTTGTAATTTAAATTCACAGTATTTTCTGACATTATTTTGATGCCTAATTTGTCAAGTGTCATGTTTTTATAATTAATTTGCAAATGATGCACAATAATTCTTGTGGGACAAGAGGTTTGTGCTGTACATGGAACTTCTGTACTGTAGCATCCTGTTGCATTAGTTCAGTTGGTTACACTTATCCATCTGAAGAATGTAACATGGCAGTCACAAGATCATTGTTATGTCTGTTATAACTTTACTGTCCAATGTGTGGTAGTAACTCTCTGAATAATGAATAAATAATTACACAAGCAAATATCATTATTTTGTAAGTTTTGAGGTTTTCACGGCGATGACTATGAAGAAAGTCATCTTCTGGGATCTGGCACCAGGTCCCAGAAGAGGACTTTCATCATTATTTTGTGTTTCATAGAGAGGACAGGTAAGTGTAGTCAATTTAGGGGGAATGATGAGAGTAGAAACTTGATCACAGCCATCTGTTATCAGATGATATCTACATGCCCTGGGATATTTACTACAAAGAAGCAGATCTTATTTGGAAATTGATTGATTGATCAGTAACTGTCAGATGACAGGTCCACAGTCTCTTCCAAAACAGTTCCTCCACTTAATGTGATCTTCTGTTTTTGGAAAGAGACTGTCCAGGAAAAGTGATAATGTGGTAGTTTTTCCATTTGCTTTCCACATCGCAGTACAACAGCCGTTCAAACCACTCTGGTCACGCCTGTTGCTATACGAACTTGAACCATCTCGAGCATCATTTGTTCTGTGCTTCAAGTCGCTGCTGATGACGCTGCTTCCGGCATCAGTTTTTGGTTTTTGGTGTCTCTCTTCGTCTGATGCCTACCCTTTGACCTGTCCAGCAAGGGAGGCCCTGCCAGTAGCTACGCTACCGCTGGTATAGCTCTCAGGGTCCTTGGCATACTCAAACCCCCTCACCACGATAAGGTGGAGACACCAACGAGGGGGATTTGGAAATTATGCTGTGGGATTTCTTAGTTACAAATGATTATATACCCATAATGTTGGGGCTTCTATGTTGCTAATTAATATACTGCTCTCTGACAGATTTCATATTACAGCTGTTGGCAGTTAATGTTCACAGAACACTTCTATATTCTTTGTAACATGTTGAAAGCTTCATTTTGTTTATTCCTCGGACTAAATTTTGTCTTTTATACTGTGTAGGATATAAAATGTCAAAATTCCCACATCAGCCTCACATATGCATGAGATACATAAATTTGTGGTCTTGCCTGGTTGTGAAACCATAAAATTTGAAGGTTTTCAAACAGGAATGCTAATGAGAAAGCGAACCGATTTGGGAGTAGGTGAAATTAAATTTAAATTAAATAGACTCTCTTGATCTATAGAGTTGAATTGTTATGTCATAAATCAGGAGGTTGTTACAGCATGAACATAACATTACGTTACATGGTGGAAACAAGAAATGATATTTCAGTCATGTGTATGACATGAATATGAAATCAATAAATATGGCAGCTGGGATGGAAATTCTTTTTTCATATAATATTAATCATAAAAATTCTGCAACAGGGGAAGTATGTTTGGTTTAATGTGATTTATGCCTAAAATTTCTGTTTGTGGGGTTTCCTTTAAGCTGTAAATATATGTTTCATCTAATAAAATCTGTTTGCAGCTTTAAGATTTCTGAAAATTATTGTAATTAGCTCAGTTGTTGATGGGATTTCATGACCCATGATCTATAGATTTAAGAATGGTAAACATGAAGTGTTATTTTTAACCATTATGTTGTATTACTCTGTAAAATAGATTTACTGTGTTATACTGTTATATAATAACAGCCGATGTTGCATATAAGCTTTATTCATGTTACATACAGTATGAGCTAACATACATTGCTTGGCTGTATGTTACAACCTATGTTGTCAGGAGATCACATGGTGTTTTTTGTTTTTTTTTTGTACTGTAACATGTTGCGCGACTGAGAACCCCCCTCCACCCTCCTCTCCACGGTAACGTAGCGCTCCCCGCCACTCCCCTCCGCGGT